GAATAATGTTATCAGACTACATAAATAATGAATGGCTATTATACAGCCATAAGCAGACCTGTAAAATAACCTGAAATACATAATGTTACATATTTCCCCCCCATTAGGCCAAACCAATTTATTTTCTTGGTTCTTGGATTCTTGCAGGAATTACTATTCACTTCCATGGATGAATAACTGTAAACTCATTTCTTTTGGAGGGATTTCATCTTGGGTTACGGGAAGAAAGCTGTTTACAGTCAAAACAAAGTTGTACCGCAAAAGCACCTACTAGCATTCACTTGTTATGATTTTGCTGTGGAGGAACACCACAAAAACAAAACCACTGCAAACAGTTCAAGATTCATAGTAAAGGGAACTTACCTGACTCACACACAGGATTTCGTAGTTCTTGTCTTTGACACTGTGAGCCCATCTTTTCTCTTGGTCGTCATCAAACACTCTCAGGTTTAAAATCTTTCGGACTCTACAGCAAAGAAAAAGCATATCAACCACGAAATAAATCTCTGCCTTCTCTGATCATAACCAGTATCATGATGTTTGTTTGTGCATTTCCCTCTCCTTCTTTTCAAGCAAGAGCTTGCTTCCACAAGTTTATAAAAAGTCTCATTATTTAATACCTAGCTTTGGTTAGGGACCTGATGGGTCATAAAGCTAGTCAGAAGTTATATATTTGAGAGCTTCACCCTGACCATGAGCATGTTTAAGAACACACCACACGTGAAAATAGTATGAATCCATCTCAGAGTGAGTGGATCAATCCTACAGTCTGGTCTCATGCCGCTTATACTTACTGTACAAAACTGTTGTGTTACGCCAAAAGATAATTTCCTAGTTACGTGAAAACGAACAAAAAAGTGGCTCTTACATATATTCCATGTCCTTTGGTGTGTCATCTCTGGAGACACCAATTAGTACACAGAGGCCCCGCCCAATGGAGCTGACCAACTCATTTCCAACTTCAGAAAAGAAACAAAGGAATACAGAGGAGTATGTAAAAAGTGGTGGCCATCTCCATTGAGATGCTTGATGATGCTATTTCCTCACCATGCTATTTCCTCAACAATGTAAAAACATATTTCACAATGTAGCCCATCAGAATGTATCTAAATATCTTATTATAACAAAGTGAATAACTGCATGTTGGAGGGGTGTCCTGCCTGCATATAGTGGCTGTCTAGATTGTGCTGCCAATACACTATACGAGCGATCGCCATTACGTCATGGTAGGCAAGAAGCTGGTGATGGTTGGTTGATAAATTTCCATATGATAGTCTGCATATGTATTAAAATAATTTGCATGTATATCATGTAAACAAAACAGCGATCACTCGTATTTTGTCTATACTCGTAATGTAATTAGTAACTTTACTGAATCACCGTAGCAACAGGGTAAAAAGCTGAAACTTGGTGTACGAGTCAAACAGGGACTTTTTTCAAATGAAACATTAAAAGAGTGTGGGTTTATAAAGGTATATAATAAAATCAGCTCATGGCACTGCTGGGGTGTTACATAATATTCTGACTTCCCATATTTAAACTTGTTGATGGAATATCCTGAACAAAGATCAGGGGTATGCCCCATAGAAGTCGTACTGCCCAAACAAAACAAACACGTTTCTTTTTACGGCACACGCGCTGTCAGTGACGAGTCTTACGTGTTTTCCTGCCTATACTAGAAACACGGTGTCAGGACAACTCGGCACCTGGGACAACTCGGCCCCTGGCCATTTGGGACAACTCGGCACCAACCCCAGGACAAGTCGGCCCCATAATTTCTCAACAAATCATCAATATTTTGGGCTCCGAGAATTAGTAGCCTCCTGACAATAATCTTAACTTCATTCTTTTCTGAGACATGTTATTCTTTTTGTGATGACGGACTTGACCGCGCCACTCAAAGAGTTAAATCACGAGTAAACTCACGGGGTCATACTATGTATAAATATGCCCGCCCGCCGAAAACATACGAGGATACAATTATAAAAGAACGTTGAACATTTACCACTACATGCTTCACGATTCCATGAAGTTTCTTTATCAATATAAATTGTAAGTCTTGCCGTTTCTTGGATCGGCACGCTTTAGATTACTCGGACGGGCCACGCCGACATAGCGCCGCTAGCGCCAGGGGCGTTACGCTAGCGGCGCAGGCCAAGTCCGTTGTCGCTATAAGAAATACTACAGTGTGTCACTGAGACTCAGAAAAAGTTAAAATCAGAGTCAGGAGGCTTCTAGATCGATAACAGTTACAATTTTTTTACCCAAAATTCATATTATTTGCTGAGAAATTATGGGGCCGACTTGTCTTGGGGTTGGTGCCGAGTTGTCCTGAGTGGCCAGGGGCCGAGTTGTCTCAGGGGCCGAGTTGTCTTGGAATCTAGAAACACTGAGCTGAGCATGACGTATAAATGCCAAGGCCGTCCGCGCGTCCTGGTGAGAGCTCGAGGTGCACGTTCTCGCCTGACCTTTAGCATTTTGGCATTATCATTGATAGTTATACATAGACATCTGACGCTATATATGATGCACACTCGGATGCCAACATCACAAGACCAGGGGATGACGCGGGAAGGGCTGACATAACAGGCATGCCCATGCCTGACCTGACTTTCGTGGCATGCGGCCAACGAACAACATGGTCCGTTGCACGTTGTGTCGGTCGTGCATGCGATCACCCACGTTACCTGAGACGCTAGCTTGCATAACACGTTGAACAACAGCCCTCATGATTGGCGAGGTGTGTAAAGACTCTGCAAATAAAGCGGTAAACACGCCGGTATCACGCGATCGCTTAAAAACTCAGCACGCGACGGCCATTTTGGGTCACGTCCGGGTCATGCTGTGACGTCAACACGACCTTTAACCCTCAGTCATCTGACAATTCGTCGCGGGTAAAAACCGTACGGACGGATCTGGGCCCGAGCGTGCTGTTTTTCACTTTCCCTATCTTTTGGGCAGAAAGGGGAGAATATATTTTCTGCACTGCAACCGTAGTACATAAGGTAAGTCCTACAGAAGTTGTTGGCGAAAATTTGTACAAATGTGTGTGGTAGATTTGGAGAAAATGCCGGTTTCTCCCTGCCGGTGTGACAGATGATCTGTCCCTGTCCACGGGACTGAACACAAACCAACCGCGCTGGCCCTACCGAGATCACGCCACCAAACCCCGTCAGGTCACTACTGGCGTAACAAAGGGTGTGTGAGGGGCGTGTTTGTTTACATATTGTGTAAAAATATCGCCAGATTTTTGTTGATGATCAGGAGTCTGTAAAGGTTCTCGATCAAGACACACGGAAACAGAGTGGCGGTTCAGTGCAACGTCACGTCCAGCTAGTGTGAACTGCACAGTCTGGAAGGTGAGTTTACCGGAAGGAATGTCTACCGTTATGTCTCCTGCCACCCCATATAGGCTGAGCTGGGCCGCAGCTCCCATACGGGGTCGTGTTTGGGTAATTTTTGGCGTCTAGCCGTCAGCTTGTAAAGAAAACGAAGTCGGTTTCGGTTACTCACAACTGACTGAGAATGAGATAAATGGTTCCCCACGGCAAGGCTTGATCGATTGACGTGGCCGTGGAGAAGCTGAAGGTGACTCGATGACCAAATGAAACTTGTCCTTTCCTCAGTATGCTGTCAGTGAAGTTCCCAAATCTCCCCCATTCTGTACCCAACAATTTGACGAGATGTGTATTGAACACTATAAGTTATATTATATATAAGAACGTGGCTATATACACTCCCGGAGTGTATATAAAATCTATTTGTCTTTTATATACACTCCGGGAGTGTATATAAAATCTATTTGTCTTTTATATACACTCCGGGAGTGTATATAAAATCTATTTGTCTTTTATATACACTCCGGGAGTGTATATAAAATCTATTTGTCTTTTATATACACTCCGGGAGTGTATATAAAATCTATTTGTCTTTTATATACACTCCCGGTGTGTATATAAGATTAGTCTTTTATATACACTCCCGGAAAGTTGATAGGGCATTCGAATGATCTGTCGCCGGTGCGAAGACCGCGCGATCGGCTGTGTTATCTGGAGTCACCAAAGGGACCGGGGCGAACCCCGGGTTGGTCTTGGTCTGATAAATGCACGCCAGACCGTGAGGTCGGCGCTTCTTCCGCATGTATTAGCTCTAGAATTACCACAGTTATCCATGTAGGATGTGACGATCAAAGGAACCATAACTGATTTAATGAGCCATTCGCAGTTTCACTGAGACAGTTTAAACTTGCACGTGCATGGCTTAAACTTTGAGACAAGCCTATGACTACTGGCAGGATCAACCAGGTAGCGAGGACGCCAGGGGCGCGCGACCGGTCTCGCCGCCGCCGCCGGGAGCGGAGGGTCCCGGGCCCCGCGCAAGCGGGGCGGGCGGTCCGCTCGACCGAACTTCGGTGGAGATTTCCGTGTTGTTTTCTGATTTTCATCATACAATAAGATAAACTTGAAGACCGAGGTTTAAACTTGGTGCCCCTGAATCCTCAAACACTCACAAAAACCCAAGTTTTGGGCCTACCAAGGAGGCTAGTATTTCGGAGTGTATATAAAATCTATTTGTCTTTTATATACACACCGGGAGTGTATATAGCCACGGCGTATATATAAAATACGTTATATACCAATGACATTTTGCCACCAAATCAATAACTTGGTAACAAAGTTGTCACTTTTGCAATCAGGGAAACCCTCACTGTACAAAACCATGGTACCGGTAGTTAAATTTGTCACAGTTACATTAAAAATAGGCGAGCCTGTTGGCCAGTTTAAAAAAAAAATCATTTGAAAAACTCTGCCTAAGTGTTGAAGGAACCTTGATTTGGCTTGAACCTTGAACGGGGACATCGAGGATGTCAACACGGGAGACAATAGGTTATTCTTCTCCACTCGTCCCTGTCCTTCATCAGTGAGCGGAGTTCTGCTTTGGTGATCATGACTAAGCTTTTTGGTATCAGTGCTGTCTCCAGCATGGGTCCTTCCATCCCTAGATGGAATTAGAAAAGAAAATCTCAACTAAAACAAAACCAAAACTTCGTTTTCATTTAATTTTCTAAATGTCATGAACTATGTGACAAAGCTTAAAGAAAGATGAAGCCATTTGAAATGTTCCCTGTAAAATGAAGGAAGCAGTATTTCATATGCACCTTTCCCCTCCAAATTTGTGCATAGAACAACAAGTCACTTATCACATAATCTTATATCTAATGGAGGGAGATGGATAACCACAATACATATACAATGTTGACAAATACCTGGGTAACCTGATAGGCCCTTTGCTGTCAACACCTGTGGTCACAGATAAATTACTTATTATAAGTGTATCTGAGTAGGTAGAGGGGTACGCCCTTAGGTCACATGTTGTTTTCAACAACAGGCGTAGGTGTATGAAGCACCCAGGGTGTGTACAATTGTAGATTGTAATGTTATGCTTGAGGCAACTTTCAACAGCAAACTCTTTTTGTATGGTAGTCATAGTAGGCAACTTGCTGAAGCGACGGTCACAACCCGCCGTACGTGCTTTTTGTCCGTACGCTTTTTTGGAGGCTACGTCTGCTACGTTTTTCTGAAAACGTGGGGAAGGAGCGGTGTCGACGCACGTCATTCGCACGTCACTCGCACGGTTGCGCAAAGTGTAAGAGTGTGGTCTGTACGCCAAGTCTGGCTGTGAGCGGTTGCGTGCATCGTACGTTGCGGAAGTGGTAAGTGAGTTGTACGTGCTTACAACGTACGATCTCTGTGCGATTGCAACTTTACTTTAAGGAGACGTACTCACACGTGCTTCTTCCGCACGGCACGTACGGGGAACGCGCGTCGCTCGTACTCGCACGTAAGGGTGGTGAATCCGCAGACAGCACGTAGAAAAAGTTTTACATGCACTTAAAGTTCTACGGCGTGTCTGCGTGCTCCCAAATCCGTAGGATTCCGTACGGAGGTGGTACTCACCACGCACGGATGCCCTACGTTTGCTCACGTTTTTGCACGTAGACAGCACGCAGAAGCACGTACGGCGGGTTGTGACCGTCGCTTATGGTACAGTTATATGGGACATGTATGTCTGAGGTGTCATTCAGCAGGTGGCCAAACCATTGGTAGTATGGCTTTCTGAGAGTTTTATATACATGTACATGGAAATTGTATCAAATTGATGTTTGAATTTTTAGAGATCATTAACTGTTACAGCTAGTTGTCGTTTACACCTTAGAAAGGCCAGAAGTAGTCTCTACCAGACTGACAAGACAGGCTGAGGGAGAATAATTTGCCGGGTGGAGTTTGGTTTTGGTAGAGTTCATTCCCTGACCAGTTGCTGACCCTATTTCCCCTGAATCTCACTATCCATAACTCCTTAGGAAGGTCTGGTGGAGGCTAGGTCAGAAGAGGTGTGATGGAACCATGTTCAAACAGACCAGTCAGCAGGGCAGATGTTGGGACTTCCGTTTGCACATATTCAGCCTCAGTGCGACATGCCTAAATCAGAAAGGAATGAAATCGTACACCCGTTTAACACAGTGTTAAATTTTTTTTCATGTAATGTTAGAATTACTTGTACATATACTAAACAAATCATACCTGCACTGCTTGCTTTGCCCAGACAGAAAATTTTATAATCTATGGCTCAAACCGGAAACCATTTGAGTTCTTTTATCAAAGGTTACAACCATCAATAAAACAAATTAAAACAAACATTTTCTGTACCCAATACAGGGATGGTGCAGGTAGAGATAAGAAAATGCCTGCACAGCTCCAATTTTACCTCCACTAATTAACCTGCATATGCAGGTGATATTTCCAACCCTTAAGGCATGTTACCTCCCCAAAATTCACATGGGTACTACAATGATGGCTATGCTTTACATCACATGAACAATCCCAGATTGAGTTATAAACAAATTTATACATTCATGATCTGTCAGGCTTCCTTAACATGGCCCCACTGATGGATGACTCTCACATGAAGTAAAGTGGGCAATCTGCCAACTTGTCCCCTGTCTCCAGGCAATGTACAGTTTGCAAGAGAAACCATGGCCAAAAGGGGGGAAGGTCAGGATAATATATTGGCTGCAGTACAGTAATTGCTCTTCTACCACTACATGAACTTCTTCCTCCTTTCTGAGATCATAGGCCTGTAGTAGATTATCAAGATTTTTTGGTGCTCATTTACAATGTATGTTTCATTGGTTGCTACCGGTATCAGCTCTTGTTGGTTTAATTCCTGTCTCCTATATTTGTAGCCTGGTATCCATCTGTATTTAGCCACGGCGATTGCCTTTCACTCCCAGGGAATGTCCTTGACGTGACAACAAATCAATATCTTAAAATGTTTCGAATACAGCAGCTCTTAAGATCAATATTCACATGATACAGTGAGCGACTGCCTTAATTAGCACTGTAGATTCTGTCCCCCAGGTTTCAAGCTTCTAAAGGCAGTTACTGCCCAAGGCAATGTATCTGGCAGCTATTCAATATTTAAGTTGGTCTGCACACTTTTTCCTTTGATGATAGCTCTGTAACATGTAGCTTAGCACATACATGCACATGCTTGTATGGCATCTTGTGGTAATGGTCTGACAGAGTAATGCTTTATGTTCTGGAACAAAGAGAACAATGAGGTTTCTATGTTTGAGATAATGTTCTGATCCCTTGGGAGCAGGTTAGAGTGAGCAGGTGGGATAATTACATTGTACTGTTTCTCTCTGGTTAGCCTCGGGGCAGGTACTAAAAATACAGACTACTCCAGAATATGTCACTTTACTTGTTGACATGCTGAGTTAATTTTTGATCTTCCTCTATATATACTACAGAGATTGGCTTGTCTCCTGTGGTTTGTAGTGATTGTCAGCATTAAATAATGTTGATGAACAGTATATTCACACTTGTGTTTATGGGGACTTAACGTGGTAGAAGGGTGGTGTTTTAAGTTTGTGTTTGAAACAATTCTGTAGTGCAGTAGCCATACTTAGGTAGGAAATGTTTGCAGATTCATGAATTCTTGGTGGAGAGGTTACAACCAAAACTGCAAAAATAAAACCGTTGTGATCATTTCCAGATTTACAAACTGTTGAAATAATGATTTAATTAAGAGAAAGGGATGTATCCACATTAATTTCTATGCCACTTTCTTGCCTTACAGATTTCAGATGGTGGAGTGAAGAAGCTCAGGGTAGTTACCAGCCATGAATTACTTTGGACGCTTCCTGTCAAACTTCAAAGAGTTCTACAATGAGATCAACGCGGCGACACTGACAGGAGCCATCGACATCGTTGTGGTGCAGCAGGAGGATGGGTCCTACAGCTGCTCACCCTTCCATGTCCGCTTCGGCAAGATGGGCGTCCTACACAGCAGGGAGAAGGTATGCTGGCCTGGGATTTCATTTTCATATCAGTTTAATTTTTTATTCACTTTACGAGCAGATAACACTGGTCTGTGACCTGTATTTCAGATGTCCTTGGATACATTTCATACAGAGGCATTCCAGAACAAAACACTCAGTAATCCTAATGCCTCGCTATCGTTACTTTGCTTAGTTCGGGGTTAAAGGAAGATACGCTGTTTTTTTATGGGAAAATGTATGATTATAAACGTTTGCCTTCTTATAAGGAAGAAGTCTTATGAAAGACTCAAGTCAGTCGTCCGTCCGTCTGTCTACAGTCCTGATCTGAAGTTGTCTGATTTGATGCATTTTCTGTCTCCAGGTGGTTGACATCACCATAAATGGACAGAATGTAGGTTTACAGATGAAGCTGGGAGAAGCAGGGGAAGCTTTCTTTGTGCAGGAGTCGTCTGATGGCAGTGTGGTGCCATTTTACCTGGCTACCTCACCAATACCCTCAGGTTGGTTTGGCCTAGCCTGTGTTACACACTCTCTCACCGTGTTTTTGTTGTTCTCTCATCTGTTCTGTGTACAAATCTGTGGCGCTGTCCCACTTCAAGACAATCTAGGGCAGGCTATGCTAGTCCATGAAAGATTAATGTTTGCAGTATTGATTGTTTTAAGTGTCCCACAACCTCTCTTCTACTGTAACAGCATGAGTTGATTTGTTTATTCTCATGGGGAGGTAGGAAGGTGTTTTAAGTTTGCTATTGAAACAGTTTTGTAGTTCAGTAGTAGTACATTGGAAACACATATTCATGGTGTCACAACAAAACCACCATGATCATTTCAGGATTTACAGCTTATGTCAGTCCAGTCAACCAACACTGGGTACCATTTACAATTACTCCAGACTTTACAGCAC